CTGGTCGTAAAAGGCCACCAGGTTGGTCTGACAGGACCTGCCACTGATGAACCCATGTTGGTTGCCCCTAAACATGCAGTCCCCTGCTGGCCCCTCCTGAATGTGTGCCAGAATAATTTTCTCAAACAGCTCGCCTAGGATCGAGGTAAGACTAACTGGCCTATAGTTTCCCGGGTCCTCCTTCCTCCCTTTTTTGAAGATGGGAACCACGTTGGCCCTCTTCCAGTCCTCCGGTACCTCTGCAGAGCACCACGAGTGCTCATAAAGCCTTGCCAGGGGACTTGCAATGACCTCAGCCAGTTCCTTTAGACTCCAGGGTGGAGATCATCTGGACCGGCTGACTTGAAAACGTCCAGCCCCTCCAGAAGCTCCCTAACTAAATCCTCGCTAACCCTTGGCCCAGAGTCATTCTCTGATACGAAGTATGCTTTATATCTGCCATAAAGTGCACCTCCTTTAACAGCAGCTCTCTGTAAATAGCTCTCTAGGACATAGGGCTCCATGCTCGTGACCTTTTAGCAACTTGAGATCAAATATACTGCTTTTACAAGTAAAGAGATACTATTCTTTAATCAGGAGTGCCATCATCTCACCCTGGGCTCTGAGGGTCGGTTTGCTTTTTATGCAACATCTTTACTAGGAACAAAAATTCTGGTGACAAATGCTTCTCTCATCTGAGAGCCTGTAGCTGAGTGTTCTGGTCCTTTGCCACAATGAGTAGAAATCTACTTATTCTAAGCACCTCTATCTTCATGCATGTACTCAGAAAAGGCCTCTTTAGAACTTGTGAATACACAATTTTTTTTTTTGAGCTTTGCCACACAAAAGATAATTTGCTCAGTAAATGAAATATAGTAAGTGACAAGAAAGAAGGTACGTGTCTTTCCTGCCATCTTCTCCTCTCTAGTCTGCCCCATGATAACCTTTATGCATTACAGCCCCTTGATGCTCTTTTTCTCCATCTTAGCCTTTATCCCTGCTTTTCTGATTCCCCAATAACAGACTGCGATGTGCATGGTTTTGGGCCAGATTTTTTTTCTTAATTTACTTTGTATCCAAGGCCAAATTAGCCAAAACTAATTCCAAATCCAAGAGTTCAGAACTGTAAGGGGCCCTACTACCGGCAAACATCTGCCATCCACACCTGGGCCTTCAGATGTTTTCAAAACCTTTGGCGGGCACCCTACTTGCAGGCCCAAACCCGGAGGCTTGGGGTTTGAATGCCCCTGAGTTTTGCTTGCCCTCAGCCATGAGGCCCTGGGAGCAACCAAGGGAGAAGACTCGCATTCCCGTGAACTGGGCTTAAAGCCGCTGCACCTTGGTGGGTGCTGAACCACTCCTGTGAAGTGGTCCAGGAAAACTGCCTTCTTGGCATAGTATTTCCCCTGCCAGGTTAAGAAGCCACTATGCTTGATCTGAGCCCTCAATGCCACAGATACACCCAGAGCCGACCTGAGCAGGGTGCAGAGCCTGGGGCAAATCAGCCCACGCGGGGCCCTGCCCCACTTCAATCCCATGTACCCCAGACCGGATGAAGCTACCACCACCATTGACAGCGGCAGTGTCGGCCGTGGGGGCGGGGGTAGCCAGTGGCTGCACATAAAGCCAGCAGCGGTGGTGCAGAGTCACCGCGGCCACTCCACCCATCTCCACGGGGCCCCCCAAAGCATGGGGCCTGCCCTGATTCCCCCCCAAGAAGGGAGGGCCCTGAATACACCTGGTGGGTGGGTGGGAGGTGGGATGCCTTGTAAGGAAAGGCTCTTTTATCTGGGACAAGCCTAGTCTTTCCCCTTATTCTGTTGTAGGACTAAGTTACCCAGTCATCAGAATCACGAACGAAGTGTGCCCCCGGCAGCTGGGGGAGCATGGCAGTGCTGGCAGCAGCGGGAGCGTGGTGGTGGTAAGCAGGGAGGGGTGGTAAGGGGTTGGCACTGCTGGTGGCAGCCAGCGGCAATTGCTGACAGCCCACAGACGCTGCTGGCGGTGCTGGTGGTGGAGGTGGCGAGTGGTGACCACCCGTAGGCACTGCCGACATTTTCGTAGGGGGTGCACCACCACGCTGAGGGGGTGCACGTGTGTCCGTGTGCACCCCCTCCGCGTGGCCACTGATCAGAAGATGACACGGACTTCATAAAGGCGTATCTTAACCCTTCCCTCACCCAGTGAGAGCGCCTTCTGTTCCTCTTCGGACCTATGCCACCGACCCCCGTGACCCAGCTTGGTGTACCCCTGTAACACCCATTGGTTTATGATCCGGCGGGCCACAGCAATGCCCACTGCCCTTGAAGCGAGCAAAAGCTGCCAAGCAAAAGAAGAAGAAGGGGGGAAAAAGCTCTCTCGTCGGTGAAGGTGACCTCTGCCGGGCGGGCAGGGGGCAGTGTGCGCCGAGCGGGGGGCTGCGGGAGCGCCGCCGCCCCGTCCCCGAGCCGCGAGCGCGTCGGTCCCGAGTGGGACGGCACCGCCGGCGGGAGCCGCGGAGGAGAGGGGGAAGGAGGCAGGAGGAGGGGAAGGACACTGCAGCCTGCCTGAATAATTGATAGTGGGAGGAGAGGGGAGCGCGGGCGGGAGCAGCTGGACGCTTGGGTCTCCATCCGCTCGCCAGCCGAGGATGAGAAAGGCCGGCGCAGGTAGGGGAGCCGAGCTGCTTTTCATTCTCCTCTCTCCCGCGATGCCAATTAAATGGGCTGCGAGGCCGGGGGGGGGAGGGCGGTGCAGGTCCTCCATGCGGCTCGTGCAGGAAGCGGAGCCCCCGGGGAAGGGGCTGCAGACATTGTGCTGGCATGCGGCGCGCGGGGACGCGGGGGAGCGGGAGGCAGGCTGTCTGGAGAGGGAACAGAGAGGGAGGGACAGGCTGAGGTGGGGATTCCCGCGCCTCGTCTCCATCACCCCCTCAGAGCTGGGAGAGCCACCAGCTGCGCGCCTCTGGCGCCGGCTCAGGATCCGGGACCTGCCCGCACCTCTCAGCCTTCTCCTCCCCGAGAGGAGGCTGAGGTGATCTTGTGCCTGCCTATCAATTCATCAGGGCAGGGCAGCAGAGAATCGGAGAGGCTCCATTGACTAGGGCACCCCCTGGAGTAACTAGGAACAATGGCCACAAAGTGAGGGAGAGCCCGTTCAGGTTGGACATTAGCAAAAAACTTCTTTGCTGTAAGGGTTGCCAGCAGTGGCGACAGGTAGGGGGTGCAGGGGGCTGCACGTGCACTCCCTGACTGGCTGCGCTCACCACTTAGGAGATGGGCAGGCGGGAACGCTGGTGCCCCCCTTGACTAAGGTGGCACCAGTCACCCATGGTTGCCCCAATCTGGAACAGGCTTCGAAGGGAGGTGGTGCTCTCCCCTACCCTGGGGGGTCTTCAAGAGGAGACTGGACAAGCACCTGGCTGGAGTCATCTGACCTCAGCGCTCTTTCCTGCCCAGGGCAGGGGGTTGGACTCGATGACCTACCCTTCCGACCCTAGCATCTATGAATCTATAAATCTATGAGCGTGGGTGCTTGCGCAGGCACGGCTGTGCGCAGCCCTGGGCAGCTGTGCATGTGTGGGAATTGGGTGTGCGCATGGCTGCGCCTGTGGTTAGTATTTATTATTGCGCCTTTGTAATTATACACAAAGAGAGAGTTTCTGACCGGGAGCGGTCACAGTCTAAAGATGTGTTGTGATGTTCCCACTGCTGTGCTGGTGCGTTGCTGGGTTCTGTGGATGTGCTCACATTCCCTTCTGTGAAGCTAGTATCTCCCATCAGACATTCGAGCAACGACTTGTACAGAGATCAGGGTGTCGGAGTGAATCCAAAACAGTCCTGATAGGAACAAGCGTCTTAACAAAAAACATGGAAAAGGAAACAGTAATGCATGTATCTGAAAGGCACCGATAACAAATGGACTGAAACACACATAATGTTTTGCTAGAAAGTTTGGCTAACGTCCGTCCCAAATACACAATTGGTCCAATAAAAGATACTGCCAGAAACCTTGCTTCTCACATATTTCCTGCATCATCCCAGCTTCGGCAATGCTCCAACACTACCAAAAACCTAAAATGCCTAAAAGAATTTGTACTTAGGATTACGGCAGACAAAGAAAATGGGAGTGCTTGTAGGCTGACAGGAAAAATGACCCCTAAAACACACTGTGACATTCACAGTAAATACATTTACACAACTATGTGTGGATTCCAACCCATAAATACAGAATAAGGCACTGTAATATTTAAGAATTCATACTAAAACTTGCTCATTAATACATCTAAAGACAGGCATGTAGTCAAGGGGAATGCTTGTATTTAGTGTGTAGGCACATAAGCTACTGGTTTTGTGGCAAGTAAAGGGGCAGCAGCTGTTAAAAGGGATTTGTGGATTGTTGATAGCTGTGGCAGTGAGGACTGATGAAGTTTTGAGTTGTTTACAAATGGAAGTGATTAACCCATCTGAGGATCTCTTATGGGCATTACCATATACCAGATACTTGGAAGGAGCTTGCAGGGAGATCTCTGCTTGACCTAGGCAATGATGCACATACAGAGGCTACAGGTCTTTATGCTACATAGTGAAATAAGATTACATCTTCTTGCGGTAATGGGATTCAGCCAAGGAAAGAGAAGGAAGGGAAGGGGGATCAAGGAAGAAATGTATCTGAAAGGGTTTTATGTCCTCAAACAGCTGGGTCACAACCAGGCAGTAGGGGTCATGTTCCCAACTCAAATTTCTGTCAAGATGGAGACTCTATGCTGATGCAATAACACTCCCACCCTCCCCAGCAAGAAGTCTCATAGCACAAGCTTGCCTCTTAAAGCAGGAAGATCTTTCACAAGGGAGACGGTGTGGCAAATCTCGCCTTATGTTTTAATTACCTGAGCAGAGGGCAGCTGTGGAAGGGGTCAGTGACTCCTGTCTTTCTACCACTAGGGAATGGGCAGCACTGGGGGATTGCAAGTCTGGTTGACCCTTCCTGTAGGAGGCAGCTTGAGGACAGCTCTTACTCTAGATGGGGGGCAATAGTGGTTCTTCCTCCTTCAGGTACTGTTTCATTTCCACTAGCACAAAATCCCTGAAATTCCTGAGTTGGTCATCAGCTCCTTTTGCTGTTTCCACCTGAGAGTTTCCAGCTCAGAGGAAGGATGATCTGGGTACGCTGAACTCACCAAGCCAAGAGAAGGGGGCACTCCTTTTCCCCCTCCATGAATGAACTCTTATTCCCTTCCAGTCTTCCTTTTCTCCATCTCTCACTTGCTCTTTTGCTTTCTTTCTCTCTGCTGTTCCCTTGCTCATCGGGTACCCTGCAGTCTCACCCCAGGAGCTTCCTGCTGTCGTGCAGTTTAGGCCCAGTCCTAGCTGTGAGCAGCTCTTTTCATTCTTTCATTTGAAGTGCATCTCTGGAGAAGGAAGCACATGGGGGCTGGGCTTTGTGGGGGTGCAGGATGAAGCTTGTGCTCTCTGGAGATGGGGACGTGAGCCTGCGCCCTTCTCCACCACAAGACAGCAGGAAAGGAAAGAAGCCCGTGTACAAGAAAGACATAAGCCTGCCTTTAACAAGACAGAAGAGTGGATAATGTTTTCCCGGAAGCGCAGTTTCACATTTGGAACCTATGGAGGGTATGTACCTCTAACAACCCTAGCTCCCCTGCATGCCCCTTTGGTACTTTGTTGCCATAGCTTCTTCCTGCTTGTAGGTGAGATAATGGTGGCAGAAACTAAAACTAGACAAGGGAAACAACTTACAGCCATAACCCTGCCCCAGCACGCCAGCCTGATTTCCATCTCTCTGATGCTGGGACTACTTTCTCTCCTTAATGAAGGAGGAAGAAGACTTCCTGAGATCTGAGTGGAGAGTGGGCTAGGGTGGGGTATGCTAGATTGTTTTTTTACTTGGTATTCTCTCCTTCCAGGATATGAAGGGCAGGATTTCAGGTTCTACCTTTCCTCCTTCAAATGAGCTGAATTCCTTCTGATTTTTCTGGGTGGACAGAGAAGGGTTGAATGAAATCCATTCCCCTTACAGCTTCTCCTTCCAGCCGCAGCACAGGGAAGCAGCTCAGTGGGCATGTCTATATGCGTATTAATGCGCCTTTTCTAATGTGTATTAAATATAGTACCTCCAATGTGAGGTAGTAAATTTATGCACATTTGGCTACACTAATGTGCAGTAGCACATTTGCACACTTTCTTAGTGACACTTTATGCACTGTAGACTATTTCACCGTGCATTAACATAATGGCATGGGGTTTTTTTACGTGATGCTTTAATGCACAGTAAAATAGTCTTCTGCACATTAAAGCAAATGTGCAGACACTCCCAGTATGGACTAAATGAGAGATCTTGGAGTAAAAGTCTAGGCAGTTTAGCGACAGCTGGTTGGTTTACTTTCCCACATGTTCCTGAGTTGCAAGGATGAGACAGAGACAATTAGAGAAAATCCTAAATAAAGGACTGACATAATATTGGCTTTATCCATGGCAGTCAGTCATGCTCACTGTCTCTGCTTCTGTCTTGCCCTCTCTTTCCCTTGGAGTTCAGACATCAATGTGTGACAGCGGTGGGGAATTCAAAGCCCCAGCTCCTACATGCCCCAGTGTTATTATTAGGGCAAGGGCATAAGTGAAATGAATGTAACAATCCACGTATACCCTCGAAGAGCATAATTGGCAGAGCTGGGCTGAGAAGAGGCCCAGGCTAGAGTGCAGGAGCTGCCGTGTCTCAAGGCTAATGATTCACAGCAAACATTTTATTTAATCATGTTAGACCTATTTTCTGATGGTGAATTACACTGAGGCTGGTTTTTATGGACAGGCTGATTCTTCTAAATACTTCAGACAGTAGTTCCTGTGATCATACTTCAACACAAGGGTCATTTATCTGGACAGGGCCATGATGTTTATATGAATTGTAATTTACTATGAATGGCTACGTGCTTAGTTATATAAGTCTTACAATACTCCTTTTGCTTCCTGGATGACTTTCACACTGTGAAGCATTTAGAAAATGGCTAAACACATGCTTCTATCTTGCACCCTCAGGAAGATATTAATGCAAGGATGTGGAACACTTTTTTCAGACAGCAAAAATCCCTCTTATGAATGCTTGTGGATAAAAAATTAAAGAGTTTATGGAACCTGTCAAAGTCAATATACTGGCTTTACTAAAACAAATGTTTGCTGACAGATTGTTAGTCCTGCAGCTGCAGACAGGAATGGTATAGGAGAGGTGTGCTGGGAACCCAGAACTGGAACAGCAGTGGGGCTATAAGACAAGATATAGGAGTACTGGTAGGTACCTACTGAAATCATGATATTGCGATTTTCACAGAGACTGCAAAATTGGTAGGGCCCCTGTGAAAAAACCTGGTCCCCACAAAAAAACGTGGTGACCACAAAAAAGCGTGAAGACAGCCAGCAGGGGGCGGGGAAAAAGGGAGCTGCAAACAGAAAATGGCAGGAAGTCCTGGCACCCTGAAGCATGGGGGGAGGGAGAGGGGAGGAGAGGCAGGGAGATTTTTGCAGAAGACCCTGGTAGGCCCTTCCTCATGCCTCTGATTGGTTATGGGGCCCTGGAACTCCCACCCCTCCTGGAGACTGACCAATCTCCATTGGCCCCTTGGCTAATCAGAGGCATAGGGAGGCCTGCCATGCTCTGC